GAGCTTTCTATGAGGAAACTGTGAAGATAGTTGCATGCACTGAGTTGAATCAATCATTCTGGCTTTGACATGGAACCAAAGGAAACTTCCAAAGAAGTTACAACTTTTGGGGGGTTGTGTTTATAGATTCCAGGCAAACAAATCAATACAATTGGATTGATTCTCCAGGGCGTGACTTGGGATGTTTTAATAAGCTCTCAGTAGATGCAATTAAAAAGCTTGTGCTTGGCTAATTGCAATGACGTAACTGTATAGATGAGTTTGAAAGTGTGTTGAAACTGGCTCCACTGTGCATTGTTAAAATCTAACATTCTTTCAGCCCTTGAAATTAAGAGCTGTCAGAGTAAATTGTCAGGCTTGGTTATTGCCCTGATCTAGGAAACAATCTCTCAGTGAGAGAATGCCTCAAAGGAAAAGAGGATTTTGAAAACAGGCCGGCTCTCTACAGTACTATTGCTGTATCACAAGAAAACCTTAGAGTTAATGCCCTAATCACTCTGCAGGCTTATTTGAAGACTATAGGTCAGGTGAAGCTGACTGCACTGCAAGGATGCAGGGATACATTAGGGATGCAGCTTCAACTGCACTTGCACCAGGACAGTTTTCAGGCGGCTTTGTTTTGCTGGGGTGGCACACAGCTGATTAATGAATCTGACATGCATAACAAAAGGAATAAACCCGGAGATGGTTCTCTGCAAAGCTAAAACCCCTTTACATCTGTTGCTGTTTTATCTGTCTTATCCTTGTGCCCCAGTGCTCCTATCTGCAGATTTGTTCTAGGCACTCCATCCTCTTGCCAGAAGCTGGCAAATATGGTGCAAAATTTTCATTAGAAACTATGATTTCTTAAATTTAATTTTAGAATGCAAACTAGCAAGGGGGCAAAAAGGAGACCCAAACAAACCATAGCAATATGACAGCATCAGTAAAAGGGATTTTCTCCTTCATCACACCTTTCTATTTGCTTTGTGTTTCAAAGTACAACATTAAAAATCAAATCAAAGGAACAATCAGGAAATTACAATGACAAGCATATATGTGTAAAAAGGTATGACAAGGGAGAATGGTTGCTTACCTACTTTGTACTGGCCCCTGCATGCTGGATCATGGTGAATCCCCTGGAGGGAGGTGGTGACTTCAGGTCCTCTGAAGATAGCTTGAAGACCCTTCTGGAGAGCAGGAGATTCTGGCAGGTGAGGTGTTCAGTAGGGAATCTGCAATCTGAGTGCAGACTGAGAGGTACTTCAGAATTGTGGGGGCCAGTCTGCAACAGGGCTAACATCACTGTAAGGCCTCAGAGAGGACAGAGGAAAAGAGACTTTCTCTTTTCAGTGGGCCAGAAAAGACTGTTAAGCATGTTGCAGCTTGCAAAGCCCCTAAGAGTTGCAGACCTGGAAAGGAAGCCTAGAAGGAAAAACTTATTCTGCAAGGGCCCACTGAACAGAGAGGAAACAGACGTTCAGGATGTTTTTATGTAAGCTGTTCATCTCAACAGGCCTCAGATTGCTCAGTCCCAGCTTATTATCCAATGTTTTAACAATATCTAGATTTAGCAGTCAAGAGACTTTTGAATTCTTTTAGCCCACTTGCTATAGAGGAAAAGTTGGGCAGCAGACTGCGCTGACCTGACATCTCATCACATGGAAGCATGTAATCAGAGGACTGCAGCACAGCAGTACAATGACAATGCCGGGATCCTTTGCACTTGTTCCTTTCTTGTTTTGCAACTCCATGCAGTTCCTGTCTTGCAGACAAAGAATAATGGCATCCTTTTAGCTAGCTGCTCTACACAAAGGCTACTGTACTTAATGGAGTGGGTCACAGCTTCATCCTACCAGTGACAAAGACATCCTTCTTCAGCCCCTACAGCAAGAAATCAGTCAAACTTATTCCCTTTATACCAATACAGGAAAATGGTTGACTTCCAGGGTGATCAGGTCCACCTGTTAGATTGCTCTTTCTGGAGAGCAAAAATCTTCCATCTTGTGGGAGCTGTTTCCCTCCATCGATGTTATAGGGAGCCAAGGATGACACAGGTACCTCAGTTATGGCTAAAGGAGGAGAATAATGTAAGTCTGGGTCAGACAAGTCTGAGCCAGGAACCCTGCTCTCTGACACTGGACAAGTCTGTCCAGTGACAAGTCTGACACTGGAACCCTCTCCAGTGTCACCCAGGTTCTGCTGGTTAGAGTACCTTTACTATTTGCCAGTAGTTCTCAAAGTACTTGCTTGATAGCTTGTATGTGTTCAAGACCTTCTACATATTCTAATTTGTATGAATAGAAGAAGGTACAGATTTGTGAGAACAGGGGATCTCAAAACTCTGTCTTCCCTTCCTCTCAACCTGAACTGTTTGAGAGCAGGTGAGGACAGTTTATCCTAATCTCCTTGTTTTGAGAGACTGAGGACTTCTTCTGCTGACACAATCCAGCGCTCATGATCTTGATTTTTAATCCATCAACTGCATTATGCCTTTCGGTCTAATAAAGAACACGGAGTAGATGAAGTCACCTGGACCAAAACACCTAGGCATTTCAAATGGCAAAGGCCCAGCAATCTTATTCAGTTAAAAGTGAAAAATCTGAAATATATATCCCAAACAAAGGTGGTGCTGGTAGGGGAACAGAAGGAATGGCTCCAGGAGAATTAGGTGAATTATCTCTTCAAACACCTGGATAACCGGAGTGGAACTCATTTATCTAAACATGTGTTAGTCACCCCAGAATCCCATTATCACAGCATAGTTGAGGTTGGAAGGGACCTCTGGAGATCATTTGATTCAAAGCCACTGCTCAAGCAGGGTCAGCTATAGCAGACTGAGTGTCTTTCTATTTGCCAGATGGATTCACAGCACATGCAGCAACACAGATAGACATTCTAGTCTGCCTACATTTCTGCAAGCATCTGGAAATAAGTGTATAGAGAATATAGAAATTTGGGATGTAGCCAAGGGGGGAGTACACTTAACCAGTTCCCCTGTAAAAAGGAGAATTCTGGTTACTGGCACTGAGCTTTTGAGATAGAGGAATCATTTCAGAAAGCATTTCTTTCTCGGCACATGATCAGGTATTTATACATTGGTTATCATATCTACTAGGTAGTAGAGTTGGGTAGGTCAGTCAGTACCAGTTTGAGGGCTGGCATGTACTGAGTGAGTCAGGATTAACCTGGTCTGTTGCGTTTCCAGAGAGAGAAGAGCACAGGCTGGCTCAAAAAAACAAACAAACAAACAAACAAAAAAAAACCCAACATCAAAAGCAGAGACATCAGGGAAACTTAGTATTACAGAGGGATATTTTCCCAAATTCCTAATGTAAGAGCACCCCAACCCATTTGGATCAGCACTGATCTGCATGAGGATGAAGGGGGTCGTCATGGCTACATACCATTCTTCCAAAGCCAAACCCTCCAATAGCCCAGCTCCTGTGTGTTATCCTCCTCTGTTTTGCAATTGGCTGACCCATAACAGACAACCAGGACCCAGTGGATTTTATTCTCCGTTTTCTGTTCCCAGGATGAGGCATAGGCAGATGAACCAAGAATACAAGGCTAAGTGGAAAAATACCAAGAGCTTTGTGACATCACCTGGGAGATGGCAATGGAATAGACATTCTTGGGAGTTTCAGAGAATACCAGGTTTGGTGAACTGCTGGTATCTGGACTAAATCTTTACTGGTTGTGCTTAAAAGTACAAGTCCAAACAGCTATGTTTTTTTCATATACTCTTCTTTCCAAACTTTTCTCCTGTGCAAGACTGTCCTGCATGCTCCACATCTTTCTAGAGCTTCTCCATTGCTAGCTACATTTGGGTGATGATTCTGAGCTGAATGTGAAGATCCTGCTTTGAGCTACTTCCTATAGGAATTTCCATTTCCTAAATTAGCTTACAGAGACTAGTTTCCTCCAGAGCCTCATTAAACCACTCCTTGGAGGAGTAGCTCATACACAGAGGGTTGTGCTGCCATTCAGAGGAACCTTCACAGGCTGGAGAGATGGGCAGAGAGAAACCCCCTGAAGTGCAACAAAAGCAAGTGCAGCATTCTACATGTATGGAAGAATAACCCCATGCACCAGTACAGACTGGGGCCCGACCTGCTAGAAAGCAGCTCTGCAGAGAAGGACCTGGGAGTCCTGGCAGACAACAAGCTGACCTAGAGCCAGCAACGTGCCCTTGTGGCCCAAGAAGGCCAACGGTGTCCTGCGTTGCATTAGGAAAAGCATTGCCAGCAGGTCAAGAGAGGTAATTCTGCCCCTCTCCTCAGCCCTGGTGAGGCCACATCTGGAGTTCTGTTTCCAGTTCTGGGCTCCCCACTACAAGAGAGACATGAGCTCCTGGAGTGAGCCCAGCAAAGGGCTACTAAGATGGTGAAGGGACTGGAGCATCTGTCTTATGAGAAAAGGCTGAGAGAGTTGGGACTCTTCAGCCTGGAGAAGACAAGGCTCAGGTGGATCTTATCAATGTGTATAAGCATTAGAAGGGAGGGTGTCAGGAAGATGGGGCTAGACTCTTCTCACTGGTGCCCAGCGATAGGATGAATGGCAATGGGCAGAAACTGGAACACAGGAAGTTCCCTCTGAACCTGAGGAAAAACTTCTTTGCTGTGAGGGTGACGGAGCACGGGAACAGGTTGTCCAGAGAGGCTGTGGAGTCTCCTTCCCTGGAGATATTCAAAAGCCATCTGGACACGATCCTGGCTAATGTGCTCTAGGTAACTCGATTTGAGCAGGGGTGTTGGACTGATGATCTCCAGAGGTCCCTTCCAACCTCAACCTTCTGTGATTCTGTGAAGTACTTATATTTAACAGGAAGAAAGAATAAGTTTTTACAATTCCTAAATTTATGCGGCTTTACTGCCTCATTCAGCATGGTATTTTTCCATATTAGCATTTTAGAAATTGAGCAAAGCATAGCTTCAGCACTCACCTCACTCTGGAATCTTTTCTGGTAAGTGCAGTTGGTGTGTTTGTACAGCATCCAATTCTAGATTGCCTGTAAGGGGTTAGACTAGCTCCAATGGAGGGAAATTCAGGCTCAGATGGGTGATTAGCCGATCTCCTACTTGCCAGACCTCCTTGTGCTGATCCTCGCATAGGGCAATAGCTACAGAAATTAGAAACGAGTGGTTAGAGAAAAGAGCACTTTTCTGTTCTCTGTTCCTGCTGGAATAAAGGAAAGACTTGTTGTGCACTGCAGTTCTGCCCTGAATTTATTTTTCGTTCTCCTATATCATGGAAGCCATATCAGGAAAGGAAGGGAAAACAGCCCTAGAGTTTAACAGAAAGGTGCTTCTTTTATGAAGGATCAGAGAGGATTCAAGCTAGCAGGCAATAGCTGCTCCTATGGTACCAGACTCTCCAAGGTCATCCACCTTTTCTGGAGATGACAGTGGGAAAGAGGATTCATGCATGAAGAGTCCCTGTAACATCTAGGACAGAACTGAAGACACTTTCCCAGAGCTACACATGTGCTTCTTTGCATATATTAGCCTTTAAGGTTCATGTTTAGAAAACTCATGGTGAGCAGCTACTGTTGCAGTTTGCCAGCAGTGCCGTGGGCTTTGCACTCCATCTCATGCCCCTGCAAAAGCTCTGTGGATTCCCACATCACTAGTTCTAGCCACTCTGAAATCCAGCACCCTTCTCACAATCTATCTGTTTTAGAATCATTTTTACTTTCTGAGATGAAAGGAGAAGTTGATAAGCTTCTATTTTTTTACCCAGAAAATGGGAATTATAATCTTCTTACTATATATGCAAGACAGTGCTCCTTTATGGTCTGGAAAGGAGCCTGGCTCATGAGCCCTGTTTCTAATTCTTGCCTGTCTTGCTGAAGCTATTGCAGAAGGGGATCTATTCCTGGTGGTGGTGGCAAATGTCTCAGAATGCTACCAACAGTAGAAATCCTCCATTACTGTTTGAACTTGGACCTGTAAAGCCCCTACCCTGTTCTTGTTTCTGAATTCAGCCTATTCTGTCACTCTGGGGTAGATGCTTTCAGGGAAGGGAGGAAGGCAATGTCCTTAAATTCATTCCATAAAACCTCTGGTCAGACCCTTTGGCAGGGATCTTGATTACACTGAACAGTTCTTAGGAGGGGAATTCCCATATCTTTCACATCCTATGATGCAGCCAGTTCTCAGTAGGAGATGAGGATGGCCAAGACAGTTGTTATTACAATGACAGTGGAAAATGAAGTGAATGATGGCAGTTGTATGTGTGTCAGAGCAAGAGTGCTTCTGTAGTGGGGACACATCACAGAAGAAATGATTGATGATGTCGGAATCATAGTAGAACAAGTCAAATATAAATATAGTCTGAACAATTGCATTCACCAAGCCTGTTATATAGGAACCGAGCACCAAGAGGTGCACCCAGTCTGTACTGGTGCATGGGGTTATTCTTCCATACATGTACACACAGAACTCCTTCGACATTAAAGCAAGGTAAAGCAGTGGGTTGCCTATGGCTGTGAACCGGTCATATGCCATCACTCCCAGCTCACAGCTCTCACAGGACGCAGCAATGCAAAAGAAAAAGAACTGCAAGGCACAGTCAGTGAATGAAATGGCTTTGGTCTTTGCTGCAAAGGTCATGAGAGTCCTTGGAGCAATAACAGTGGAGCAGCTGACATATAAGAAAGCCAGGTTACTAAGAAAGAAGTACATGGGAGAGTGGAGCTGGGAATCAATCTTGAGTAATATAATCACCCCCAGGTTTCTCACCAGAATCAGCAAATAGATGAGCAAAAACACTACAAAGAGGATAACCTGTGTCTTCGAGCTATCTGTAAATCCCAGCAAGATGAATTCAGTCACTGCAGTGAGAGCCCCTTTTGCCATCAGCTCCAGGCATGCTCTCCTTGGCAAACAGAAATATGAGGATGGCTCTGCAAAAGGAAGCAGATAAGAGCTGAGGGCTATGCCCAGGGATGAGAAGCATTCTGTGTCACCTGCGTTTAGATGGAAGGGGGTTAATTTCACCTAACTGTTTAGCACTGTTAGTTTCACTGCAGAGAACTGTAGAGATGGGATTTATCTAACCTATTTTCCAAATTTCCTGGAGGATGAGATCATTCTTGCCCTCCAAAGAAGCCTTCTTTTCCACTGGCTAGTAACAGAATCTGGATAGCTAGTTCACATGTAAATGTCTGCACTTGGTCAGAGATTCCTGCCTAGGTGTCTAGAAGTTGTTTACCCATATTCAGGCTAGTCATCTGGACATCTTCTGTAGTCAGGAGAGAGAGACTGTTATTTCTGGAGAGTGATTCCTATCACCCTTATTAGGTAACTTAATCGGCCTTGTTGACCGTCCCCCTGACACACGCACAAGCCTTGAGAAACTGCATGTAGGTCTCATACACAGTGCATCCCTTTGTGAGGCTACGCAGGGAGAAGAGTCTGCTCTTGGCTTTGTGCTACTACTGCTTGTTTTTGATGTGAACATCAGAAACTAAGAAACTAGTTTTAGCCACAAATCTAGCTTTTCCTCCTCAGAGCTACCATAGTTTGCCATGAGAGAATGCCTTTTACTAGTTTCTGATCCAGCCCCCTCCCTCCCCCCTTCCTGCACTCCCACCCTTTCTCAGCACCAAATGAGTTCTCACATAGCAAAGGACTTTCCATAGGGGAAACAGTTAATGGATTTGGGCCCTTCCTTGTAGCTTTTCAAAGAGCCTAGATAATACTCTTTTTTTTTTCTTTCTTTTTTTTTTTTGGTATAAAAGTTTCATTGCAAGCAAACAAACCGGCAGCAAACTGGTAGGTTTTTGTTGGAAATGCTTGGAAAGCAGCACTGCAAGCTGTGGAGGTCATGAGGAAAAGACCTCCCCCACAAATGCCCACACTTGGGGTCTAGTTTTATGCTTATTAAACTTCTTAGATAAAGCCATTCTCATCAGTGGTCATGGCAATGTGACTCCCTATAGGCATTTACAGCCATTAAGGAAGCTTTGAGTATATCCAGACAACATACCAAGCGGACAGACTGAAGTCTGAATGGGTCTCAGTTGACCACTCAGTCAATTGGCAGCTAGACAGGTATTCTGAAGATTTGAGTTTTATGCTGTGACGCACAAACTCCTTTGACGCAGGAATCCTTTGCGGTGGAGTTGTGTGGGCCATGGTATCAAGCACTTAAAATACTTTTAATGGGCATTCATTCCATTGGAAGTGGTGTGACCACTTCTAAACCTAATCTCAATTGTGCCACCACTGTTATCGGTCACCCATATCATGTGACTTTATAAAATCAGTGACATAATTCAAATTTGTTTGATGGAGATAGGCGGAGGAAACATACTGCATTCAACCTAAGTTATCTTAGGTGTTTGAGCTCTTCATGCTTTGGAAGCAGAATATCATTACCTCAGTCATCTCTTACATTATTCCAATCATGGTAAAATAAGCACCGTTTTTCTTCTCACAGTGGGTTTCTTCTTGGTGGGATGAAAGTGAGGTTTATGAATAACTGACCATAGCTAGTCATCTACCGTGTAGGTGCCTACTTTAGCACTGTTCAGACTAGTGCCCCGTCAGAGTCAATTGAGAAAAATAGGCAAGGGTCATCAGACCCGTTCTAACCATTCCCGTTAGAAACAGATGAGCTACACCTTACAAGTGTCTGCTTCTTTCCATTAGCTAGAAGGGAATGTGGATAGCCATATCCTTTGATTCTGAGGATGAAATAGTGATTTTTGTGCCAGCATCTGCAAAGTGATGAAACCTTACCATAGAAGAAAGATGTCTCTTGTTCTTCAAACCAGGTGACACTCTGTTTGGAAAGCTGTGTGTCTATTTACGGGCTGTTCTCTCACTTCACTTGTACGGAATCCCTGGAGGAGCAACAAATCATGAACATTGTGCTTAGGGTGTTCCTCAGTTTCCTCGGCATATCAGAAATTATGTCACAGTGATATTGCCTTCAAGTCTTGCGCAAACACCCTTGTCTTGTCTTGCTTCCTCGGAGGCTCAGAGAGCTGGTCCACTTTCCTGAGACAAGAAAGCAGAACAATCTCACCAGGCATTAGGATGCTCTCCTAGGATTTAGGGGATCTTCTCCTAGGATTTAGGGGAACTTTGTAAAGTTCGGGGCTGCAGTATAGGCTTTGGAAGTAATTTATCCTGTACAGAGTTAGGAGCACAAAGGCTTTAGAGACTTTGCTCTTCCATAATAGCTACAGTTCATAAGAAAATTGCAGCTCCCCAACACTGATCTGGTGTCAGCCAAACACTGTATCTCTGATGTCAGCCAAATTTGAAGCTAGATAAAATTTCTGACTGCAGTAAAACTTCATAGCTTTCATGAGTTTTCTCATCCTAACTACAGTGCCATGCATCTTGGATGTGCTGAATTTAAATACATGGATCAAAACTAAACTCTGTTCTAATTCTCAGACTGTGCATCATTCACCTGAGGGTACTGGCAGGCCCTCCCTACTGGGCATTCTCAAAGCACATCTAGGCTCAGATTCATCCCATTCATCTCCTGTCTCCCAACTGAGGAGCCTAAGCTGGCATTACGGTCTTACGTTAGGAGTCTCAGTCCTTCTGTGTCTTAAGGCAGAAGGAGAGCGACCTCCAAAGAGTGATTCATCTATTCAGCATTCTGTATCACCATATGACGGTGCCCATCTGCACTGACCTTTCAGAGATACCAGGCACTGCTAGCTTTGACTGACTTCACAGGTTAAGACTGCCTAAAGTTCCGTCATCTCAGTTCAGATCTCACTGAATTTCACTTAACATAAACTTTGGCTGAGGAAAGAAGACAAGTCTCCCCCTGAGCTGGAAAAGCTTTGCCAGTAGTGCTGTAGTATCATACACCTTGAATGGTGTTGAATAAACTCCCTTCTGAGAAGGAAAATTTCATTTAGCTTCCAGCAAAAGCGAGCCTTAGCAAACTGTGTACTAACTAACTGGGGTGTGGTGTGTCTTGGTCATTTTGTGAAGATCTTCTGCCTGTTCTACCCATTCACCAGTATACGTGCTGGGGGTCAACCTGCTGGTCAAAGCAGCTTTGTAGGAAAGGATCTGGGGGTCCTAGTGGACACCCGGTTGACCAGGAGCCAGCAATGTCCCCTCACGGCCAAGAAGGACAACACATCCTGGACTGCATTAAGAAGAGGGTTGCCAGCAGGCCGAGGCAGGTGATCCGTCCCCTCTACTCAGCCCTGGTTAGGCCACATCAGGAGGGCTGTGTCCAGTTCTGGGATCCCTAGTACAAGAGAGACATGGGCCCACTGCAGAGAGTCCAGTGAAGGGCCATGAAGATGGTTATGCAATTGGAGCATCTGTCATATGAGGAAAGGCTGAGAGAGCTGGGAAGGTTTAGCCTGGAGAAAAGAAGGCTCGGGGGGATCTTGTCAATGCATATAAATACCTGATGGGAGCGAGTAAAGCTGATGGAGCCAGACTCTTCTCGGTGGTATCCAGTGAACAGACAAGAGGCAACGGGCATGATCTGAGGTACAAGAAATTCTGTTTAAACATAGGAAAACTCTTTTTTGCTATGAGGATGGTTGAACACTGGAAGAGATTGCCTGGAGAGGTTGTGGAGTCTCCATCCTTGGAGATATTCAAAACCCAACCAGTCAATGTCCTGAGCAACCTGCTCTAGCTGACCCTGCTTTGAGCAGGGGGCTTGGACTAGATGGTCTCCAGAGGTTCCTTCCAGCCTCAACTATTCTGTGATTCTATTGTTGCATAATTGCTCACCAAGCTAGAGAAAATGACATTCTTTCCTGAAAGGTAACCCAGAGACTCAGTAAGGGAGGTATAGATGGTCCCTCCTGCCATTTCTCTCACTACAGAAACAGAGATTGTGCTTTGTTGGACTACAATACATTGAATATTTTAACATAAAAAAAGAATAGGTAAAACAGGAAAGACTGAGCTAAGCTGAAAGTCTGGGGTCCTGTTCAAAAATGAGTTGCAAGAATCACCCTCTCCTCTTCTCCTGAGATATTGGAGACTATATAGAAACATGTAGAAGATGGCTTCTCTCATGGAAAATATTGTTAACATTTGGCTCTTTGTGCATGGCTGTCTCCTCCCCCTTGTCCCCCCCCACCTTCAACTGCAAGGACGGAGGCTGCACAAGCTCTCTGGGCAACCTGTTGTACTGCTTGACTGTCCCCACAGACAAAAACCTTTTCTCTTATAGCCAGTAGGGACCTCTCTTGTTCCAATTTATGCCCATCATCTCTCATTCTCTCACCGTGCACCACTTTGAACAGCATGGCTCTCTATTCTGAATGACCTTCTCATAGCTATGGGAAGGCTGCTCTTTGGTTCTCCCCCAAACCTTCTCTTCTCAAGAGAGAACCGAGTTCCCTCAGTCCCTCCAAACAGCACAAAGTGAGTGCTCCAGTTCCCTGACCGCCTTGGTGGCCCTCTGCTGAACTCGCTCCCATTTATCAATGTCTGTCTTGTACTGGGGTCCAAAACTGGAAGTGAAATCCTAGATGCGGCCTCACAAGTACTGAGCAGAGAGAGAGAATCACTTCCCCCAGTCTCCTGGCTATGCTGCCATTCACAAAGCTTAGCATGCTTTTAGCCTTCCTTGCTGACCAGGGCACATTACTGACTCTGTTTTAGCTTGCTGCCCACCAGGGCCTGCAAGGCTTTTTTAGCAGAGCTCCTCCCCAGCCAAGTCAGTCCCCAGGCTGTATTGCTGCCAGGGGATCTTCCTTCCCAGGTGCAGAACTTGCACTTGCCCTTGCAGAATTCCCTGAAGTTCCTATTGGTCCATTCATCCAGCTTGTCTAGGTCTTTCCGAAAGGAAGCCCTGCCCTCAAGCATATTGACTAGTCTCTCAAGTTTGCTGTCGTCTGCAAACCTGG